CCGAAGATGCCATATTCAAGATACTCTTTTGTACAGTGTGAAAAAGCATGTTCTTCTTTATCACTACACTTCCACGTTGAATAAATATGCCGGGCAGAGATCGGAGCGGGAACTTCTGACTCTAGGAGACAGGTCTCAGAAATTCTACTGTAAAAAGTGTTACGTATCAGCTGAGACATCCGAACACTTGCTGTATCATCTTCTAACCTCAGAAAAGCACAAGGAGCTGGATGTGCATATCAGAGCTCTAATTTTTGAAACAGACAGTAAGAAACAGTACCCTGCTCTAGCACCGAAATCCCAAGGCCCTCCTGCTGTCTTGATGATGAAAGATCCGCCAGCGGTGACAATGGCTTCTGGTGGAATTAAAGGGCCAGAAAGTGGTGGTTCTGCAGTCATTGCTGCCCCAGGAACAAGCCAGGTGTTTCTCCCAACTCAAGCTTCTGCTCTGGTTCAGCTTGCAAGCGCTGAGGCGAAGGGTTTACTGAGACCTGGAGTACCACTGGCTTTTCAGAACACCCAAATCACCAGACCTGCTTTGCCTCCTGCTCCGAGCGGCGTTCCTCAAAATCAGATGTCCGTCAGAGTAGGCCTACCTAGTCAGGCACAACTGCAACCCGTTTCCCGCCAAATTGTCCTACCACCAGGCGTACGTCTTAATGTACCCGCTGTTAGGCCACCACCACCTCAGTCCCTCGTAGGTAATCAAAGATTGCCCCTAAATCAACCCACATCTGGAGGCACCATGCTAACCTCTCAATCCCTTCTGAGTCATTTGATACCCACTGGCAACAAAGTTGATGGTTTGCCTACCTACACTCTGGCGCCTTTGCAGGTCCTATCGGTCCAGGGAAATAATTCCCAAGGAGTCAGCAAACCACCGCTGCCTGCATCCCAGAACAACCCTCCTGCTCAGCAAAACAAACAAAACAGCTCTCTGCCGGCCCCCAAACAAACCAAGAAGTGGATCACGTGTCCTATTTGTAATGAACTCTTCCCATCTGATATCTACGAGTCCCATCCAGAGGTTCACAAAGAGGTAGCTAAATTGCCCAAGATTGGTCTAGCTGCTCGTGCTCCATTTTTGAGAAAGATGCCGGATAAGACGGTGAAATGCCTGACATGCAAGATCTTGATTTCGGAAAAGGGAGTTTTTGAACACCTGCTTCATGGCATGAACTGCTTATTTTGTTCTGGGCTCTTCTACTCCATCAAGCAGCTTGTTGACCATATCCAGGTGGAGCATAATGTGAACCGAAAGAGCAACTGTGACTTCATGAGGCGTGAATACAGACTGTATACTGATGATTCAGGGAATCTGCTTTTCCCTTACTTCGATATCCGAACCACGGCTCCTAAACTAATAATGGGTGAAAAAGAGCTCAATCTTGCATTGGTCACAAGCTCCCTCGATCTGATCTTTGTGAAGATGTTGCCCAACAATCCACAGGGTGTTGGAAAGCTGTCCGCACCCTGCAATATGCCCACACCCAATCCTAACAGCACAGAGTGTCCCTTCTGCTCGGAGAAACTTCTGAACAAGGAATGCTATCAAATGCACCTCAAAGAGAAGCATTTCATTGTCCCCACTCTACATGCTATACTTAAAACCCCATCGTACAGATGCCTCTACTGTGGTGGTGTCTACACTGGGAAGACCACTACCAAGGCCATCATTGTCCACTTGTCTAAATGCCGCAGTGCACCGAAGAGTCTCAAGGATGGTGATAAACTGACTTCAGGATTAGCTATTACTCCCAGAGCGAACCGAGCACTTGTGTCATACCCAGCTCATCCAAAACAGATCACTGGTCCAACCCCGACTTCAGTTCAAGCCTCTGTTCCTGCCACAAAGCCACTGGAAAGCGAAGCGGAGATGCAGAGCAAGTTGCGCCTGGAAGTAGCCTTCAGAGAAGCTATGGAGGCCAATAGAAGAGAGCGGGAGGAACGGTTGGCAAGGAAGAGAAAACTCGAGCGAGATAGGTTGGCTGGTCTGATGGTCCCCTCACCTGAAGTAGTAATCGATCCTTCTGTACAATTAGCATTGGATCCTGCTGGAATGGAGTTGCGCCCCTTTGAAGAACGACGTGAGTTTGTCAATAAGTACTTTAATACACAGCCTTACCCACTCAAGAAGGAGATTGTTGCCCTGAGTAACCGTTTACTGCTTAACAAAACTGACGTTGCTTGCCAGATTAGCACAAAGCGTACCAGATGTATGAAGAACATACAGAAAACCAAGGCTGTGGTACTTTTAGGCTTCAATATGGCAGAGGTGATGAAGCTGAAGCATAATCTCTACATCCCAGAGATTGAGCCCGAGAAGGTGATCACCGTGACAGACACAGAGATGGAGGTCGTTCAGGAGTAGCTTGGAGAAAATAGTAATAAAGACAAGGAGGACTTGCAATGCAAATTTTACTGGGAGCGTAAACTGTTACCTGTTCCTTGAAACAATGCAAATGTGTTCCATTCTCACCAAAACTAGTGTTAAACTGTTAACCAAGTAGAATTTGAGAGGTTGAAACAAGCGAAAATGTGTTTGATTTTGTCTACTGTTAAACAATGTGTGTGAATGCTTATGTTTTGTTTCATATTAATCATTTTAAAATATACATCCATTACTTTTCACTGAGACATCACTTCAAGCAAAGTTCATGTAAAAATAGATGTTTGTAACCCATTTATAGTTTTAGGGTTGAAAAAATCTGTGTGATTATACTTTTTATATTTTCCAAACCTCATAAACTATTTTTTTGTGACATTTTCTTTATATATTTGTTGGAATGCTTATGGTTACGTTTCCCTTTTCTTTTAGACCATGTTTATTTCTATTAATCAATTCCCTTTATTGTTAAACTTAGTTTCTATTTTTCTTGCCTTATACTTTTATAAATATGATATTCAAATTATTGTTTTGATTAGATGTTTTGCCAAAAAACTTTTCTCTTATTAAGTAATGCTGCTTACCTAAGTGACATCCTCACAACTAAAGTGTGGAGCTTTGCAGAGAAATTTAATTGCAGTTAATTTCAATTGTATAATGATTGTAAGCATCAGGATATCTTGTAGACTCTTGGTTTCCCACTTCATTTCCCCTGTTCAGTAAGTAAATGACAACATCTAAGCTTACAATATGAAAACTGTAAATAAATTAGAGCATATACATACAAGTTCACTTTTTTCAGTTGTATGTTCATGTGTAGTAATGGGCATTGTTAAAAACTCAAACCTATTTGTCATCAGAGAACAACATTTATTAGTTTATTATGTAAAATAAACTAATTATGTAGTTTATTTAAACTAGTATTTATTTACAGAACACAAATGGGGTAAATAAACACCTTTATTGTTGTGATCATAGATCTTGTTTTGAAGATCTAAAATGTCATTAATATTTGCTTGCTAACACATTGTTCATGCTGCCATTTGTGGGATAATCCTCGAAATTTAAAATGTATTCTGTCATAAGATAAATACTTACAGAATCCCCCTATACATTTTGGTTCAGTAAAATATAGGTAGTTGACATTTACATAACCATAGTCATTTTATATTTATTTTATTATTTATCTAGGTTAAAATGTATATGAATGTACATGGGAAAGTCTTTATCTTAAATCTTGATATGTATGTCTGGTGTTATCTTAAGATATACATATAGGCTACATATATCAAATGCATTTCCATTCATACACATACATTGATATTTAAAAAAACATCCATGGACACAATCATTTTCCACTTTTAATCACCTTTTTTATTTCTTTCTCATGTTGATTTTAAATGTTCCATTGGTGTGACAAATTCATTTTTTAAGTATTAATATTCAACTGACATACTCTCGATTAAAATAAGTTCACAAAGGCTGAATGCATAACTATGAAATATCAAAGTACTATTCAGCATAGTTTTGGCTGCAAGACATACTTTCCAAAAGTATTCCATGTTAACTACCCATTTATAGTACAAAAATGGGGGAAATAAATATTTCACTTTAATGCTGCATCTTTTCTGAATAATTGATTCATTGAAATCTTACGTGTTTGCTTGCCTACACATTATCCATGCTGCCATATTGTAGGATATTCAACAACATACATGCGAAAGGTATTTTGTCTTTAGACAACATTAGACAATATCCATTGCTGTGTATGTTTGGTTCATGATTAAGGCCAAATAATAATATAATAATCTTCAGTCTGATTCCTGAATGACACTTTGAATATATCTTAAAAATGTAAACACTACATCTGAATCTTTATAATACCCGTACTATCTTGGTTGAAAGATTTCGTTATAGACTCACTCCATAGAGCAGCAGCTTTCGGATACATTAGCAAAATAATTCCTGAAGGCAGAGAACATAAATATACAAGTTCCACTTAGCAAATCAGAAATTAGTTATCATTAAATATACTATAAATAAAATGTGGCAGGATACATGGGATCAGGAGGAAAAAGTAAGACATTTAATACAGCATTCAGAAAGAAGTGATGGGTAAAAAGAACAGTAGTCTAAGACGACAGAAGGAAACTATGCTTACAAAGTTAAATAGCTGATTTAAATTTAATAGGAAAACACCAGACTGGATTATGCATTCATTGTGGAGAAGTGGAAAATGTAAAACATACTCTTGACGTGTAGAAAGTACTCTGAAAAAAGGAAAGAACTAGAGTGGGCAACGGAAAATGGATTGAGTTTAAAAAACCTATTGGGTTTGCCTGGCACGCAATCTATAATGAAGGATGTTATGATCTTTCTGAAAGAAACTCAGCTTGCAAATAGGATTTAGGTTTTAATATTTTATTTTTAATTTGTTTGTTTGTTTAGTAACATAAAATGACATCCCAATGAGTTCACACCCCAGTCCAGAAGATGGCGGTAATGCACCTTGTTTGCAAACTGCCAATAAAAACCACAGAAGAAGAAAAAGGAGCTTTCTCCAATCCAGCAGAGGGCGATATTGATATCTGTTTATACGCATTATCACTACTAGCCGCGGCAGCCGCCGTCGTCGTTGCAGTGCTAAATACCGTAATAATCCGTGTTCTACATCTAATAAACTCGGAGCACTCACTTAATCTACACAACAAGGTTATTTAAACTGTAAGGTAAGGATTGCATTTCCCTTTAAAGTTTTTTTCTGTTTTATTTCTCTAATATTTAACTTAAGAAATCAAAATAATCTTTCTAGAATCTTCAGAGCTAACGTTAAATCAACGTGTGAAATGTAAACAAATCAGTTTTGCTTTTCGGTTTGCTACTTTTGAACGGTTTATTGACCTGGTGTGGTTTGTAAGCATATGACAACAATCTCATGTGCCTTTCTAGAAGTGTGTTGAAATTCCATCAAAATGTCGTACATGCTCCCTCATCTTCACAATGGCTGGCAAGTGGACCAGGCTATTTTATCCGAGGAGGACCGTGTTATTGTTATACGATTTGGCCACGACTGGGACCCTACGTGTATGAAAATGGATGAAGTGTTGTACAGCATCGCCGAAAAGGTATTTACAGTTTCCTATTAAGAACAGGTAGTATTTTCTGAATATGTAGTACTTGTTGATGATGTATTTGTGAACAATTATTTATGTACCATTATTCTATCAGTGTGTCGTGTGCCTAATATCAAGTGTTTCCTCAGGTGAAGAATTTTGCAGTAATTTATCTTGTGGACATCACAGAAGTGCCAGATTTTAACAAGATGTACGAGTTATATGATCCTTGCACAGTCATGTTCTTTTTCAGGTAAGTCTTCAGATTCTATAAGGATTGCAGTGAGTCAGGCAGCAATTTAAAGGTCCAATTTGACTGGACAATCTCCAGTCAAAAATGAAAATTCTTTAATTTTCTCCCTTTTATGGTTTTCTTCTGTAAAAAAAACAGAGATTTTTAGAAAAAGAAAACAAATGATATAGGGCTGTCACTTTTTATTCAATATTCGAATATGCATTCGAACATGACGTGAAATATCCGTAATCGAACTCTAAATAAACTATCCGGTTTTTAAAGTGCCATGAGTAGCGCATTTTTTACAGTCTATGATTAGACCATTTGTTTTTTATTTTTTTGTTTGCCATCTCATCCAGTAGCGGGCGCTCTAAACATATTGTAGTGTAGGCCCATGACCGAATCAAGCGAATAATAGCCAATAGCCACCCTGTTTTGAAAATGGAAGATTACGCACAGAACGGCCAGCCTGAGCGGACAATTACGACCCCAACTCATCTAAAAAGTAGTGTCTGGAAATATTTTGGGTTCTACACCGTGGATGGTAAAGTAACTGTTAAAGATAAGGTAGTTTGCCGAATTTGCAAAAAACGGTTTACTTGCGCATCCTTCGAGATCCAATCTTGGCGCTCACCTGTCGAGTTACCATCCAAATGAGGCAGCGGAGTCAGAGACACAGCAGACGGCCAGAGTATCGCCAGGCGTCCAACATCGTATGACTGCATACTTTCCTGCACAACCGGTCGGCACCTTGCCAGATGCACGAGTAAAGGCCATCACTGATAAGATGGCAAGGTTTATTTGCAGGGATATGAGACCTATAAGTGTAATTTCGGGAGACGGGTTTCAGGACCTCATAATGGAACTGGAGCCACGATACACAATTCCATGTCGCACCACTATGTCAGCCCGCATAGTAAAGTTGTATGACACCACACGAGAAAACATTAAGACCTTTTTGCAGGACAAGAAACTTGCTCTAACTACAGACGGGTGGACATCACTGGCCACACATGCTTACGTGACAATCACAGCTCACTTCATTTCAGACACATGGGACCTAGAGAATTTCGTTCTTTGTACGAAAGAGCTAAGGGGAAGTCACACAGCTGCCCATGTCGCAGAGAGCATCAGCAACACCCTGGACGACTGGGATATATCCCGTGAAGCAGTAATAGCGGTCAACACAGACAATGCGCAGAATTATGTGAAAGCCATACCCATACGTGATTTAGGCCTCATACATGTACCTTGCTTGGTACACACGTTAAACCTAGCCGTGCGCAAGGGACTAGAGGTGAGGGCTATTGATGCTGCCCTTTCTCGCCTTAAACAGACAGCAGCTCATTTTTGGAAAGTCTCCTGCCTGTTGGAGCAAAGCAGGAGCTTCTCGGACTAAAAAAAGTGAATGAAAAAAGAATTTTTTGAAATCTGGAAAATGATAAATGAAGATGGGGGTGGGGCTTGATATTTGATATCCGTTCGAATTAGATTTTTCTCAAAAGTGACAGCCCTAACGTGAGAGTTTTTATTTTTGGGTGGCATATCCCTTTAACCATATGGGAGTTCATCATTATGCAGGGTATATTACTAAGCATTTAAGCTTTAGTTGTTTGTTTGTTTGTTTGTTTATTTATTTTTCCTTAACTGTTTCTAGTTCTAGATAGGTTATGCACTATTGATAGCATATTTACCATAGAAAATCTCTTTGTCTCTTCCTTTAAAAAACATAGAAGGACTTAATGAATTTGGGTTTAAAACAAATGTGAAGGAATGGCCTTGTCATGTGTCCTTGCTCCTGTAATGCAAATGTTACAGGGTTTATTGGCTTTACGTTCTAATGATGTGTTGTAATTGGATAGACGTGTATGTATATCGCATATAACTTTGCACAGACATGGTTGGTAATGATTCTATCACATTAGCCTTGTGACAACTGTTCCGAAATGGGGTGTGTGTGTGGTTTTTAATGTTGCCCTGTGCCTGTGAACTTTCTTTGTAAGTGCCTTACTGTAACCTATATTTTTGAGTCAAACATAGCCTTGGCTAAATCAAAATATTCAATGAAAATGAAGTGTTCTACTTAAAGTATTCACAGTTATATCTGGCCACTCAGAGGTGTTTAAGTTAAGTCGGAATCCACGCACCGCATGTTAAATAAGAGATTTATTGTGCAGTGCACAGCTTAATTTATTATTACGGAACTTTGAGAAATCATGAGGAGGAACAAGGTTTTAGTGATTATAAAGGGAGTGCTCTATTCCCCCTTTCTTTTCTATATATAATCTATTCAGTATTTGAATAAGTTATGGTTTTTCATGGTTTTTAGAGGACCAACCGCAACATACATGCTGCAAAGTTTTTGTAGTGACATCCACATACAGGTTAAATGTGGAATTCACTCTCAATTGCAATGACTGACATAGTAAAAGCTAGGGGTGTACGTTAGTGGATTTTTGCCGATATCGAATAATTCATTTTGGCCTCATTACCGATATATTTTCCTTATGTTTGGAAACACCAAGTCTCTCTTGTGCAAGGATTATAAACAAATTATTTTTCATTTCATTTACTTTTGAGCGAAAACTAAAACATTAAAGTTCTTTTTATAATGAGACTAAATTGAAAGCTTTGAAACTAGCAATAATAAAATCAATCACTGCTGTTTTTTCCCCCAGACAGATGCAGTTGTAAGCTTAACATTTTATATGTGGATGTTCAACAGCAAAAGAGCTGTACAAATAAAATTAAAAAAGTTATTTTCCTAATCCGTTTGAATAAATATATTACACATTAATAAATAAAACTGTATATATAAAATTATTTAATTTAAAAGTGTCATGTTTGGTTTTATTCATCATGTAAAAACTAGGGCTGTCAAACAATTAATCACGATTAATCGCATCCAAAATAAAAGTTTGTGTTTACATAATATATGTATGTGTACTGTCTGTGTATAATTATTTTTAATACATAAATATCCACACATGCATGTGTATTTAAGAAATATTTGCATGTATAGACTGTATATAGACTGGATGTAGCCTATATATAATAAATGTATATTTTATATAAACATTTTATATATAAATAACATATTTTTCTGAAATATATATGTGTGTGCATTTATATACAAAATAATTATACACAGTACACACACATATATTATGTAAACACAAACTTTTATTTTGGATGCGATTAATCGCGATTAATCTTTTGACAGCCCTAGTAAAAACTAAATCTGTCTGACCTTTAAATCAAATCTGATCCGTGATTTTCTTATGTATTGTTACTTTTCTTCCAGGAAGAGCACATCAATTAGACATTCTGACTAGCACGTAACTTAGTCCAAGTTCACTTGTGCATTCTCGTCATTTTGTGCAGATATAATTTGTAATATGTTTATTTTGTATCTGATTAATCTCATATAGGATGCATTTCGTTGAGTTAAATAACCCGCTAACAAAGTGCTCCAGGTTACCAGTGTTCATTCAGCGCTTCAGCGCGCAGCTCAAACAGTAATGCACGACTAATAATAACTATGATTGGAAATGTCATGTTACATAACATTATAATGAGAACACTATTTTAATAAATTGTTGTGAATTAATTGGGTTTAGCGCGTTGTTCCAGGAAGAGCGTGTCCACAACAGGAGTTACACTTTCTGACTAGCACGCATCTGATGCAACCTTGGTGACACGCTGCTGTATTAGTCGTTATATTTGATTATTTGTAATTTAATTAAATGATCTATCACATCGACTCCTCCATTATGCAAATTTGTTACAAACCTATATAGGTTTGTGCAGGAAGAAAGCCATTTCAGAATCGGTTCTTTCTTTTGGGAGGCAATAACTCCATTTATCGTGCAATTTGATCTCTAAAATTTTGCTGACACATTCATAAACAGCTAAACCACACTACATGAAAGATAATGTCTGAAAAAAGCATAATGGGGCACTTTAACTGTTGTCACAAGACTAATGTTATAGAATCACTTTCTGACCTTGTCAAAGTTATATGAAATATTTATATACAGTATCTACTCAATAATAGTTTTACAGTGCATATTTATCCTAATGTATATTTCTGCTTTTGTTTGTCTATCTCAGGAACAAGCACATCATGATTGATCTTGGCACTGGTAACAACAACAAGATAAACTGGACCATGGAAGATAAGCAGGAGATGATAGACATTGTTGAGACTGTCTACAGGGGGGCGAGGAAAGGACGGGGTCTTGTGGTTTCCCCAAAAGACTACTCAACCAAATACAGATACTGATGTCTGTGCACTTTTTTATGCATTGCTTTTTTTTTTTCATCAACATTGGACAAGATCTGAGCGTTCAGCAGTATGGTCATTTGGACTGTTTAATGGCCTTGTTTAGGATTTTCAACTTCATATTTAAATGTGTTTCTCTGTTGCTGTTACGATCACCAGTCTTTTATAATTTTGTCCATCTGAAAATGCCACTGTATATTGAATAAATATTGAATGGCGTGTTTCTAATCTTTGTATTTCTAAGCTCTTATTTATCATCACAGTGCTAATTATTAGGTTTATTCATAAAACCATGTCAGAATTAAAGTCCTATTTTTTTTATGCCCTTCCCACGCTAACTTCCCTCCATCTCATTCACTTGAATGCACGTCATTGCTTACGTTGCACGAGTGCCCACTGGCGTAACCCTTGCAATGTGTTTAAATGAAACTCTAAGCCCTTGATCAATTGGAATCAGATGTGGAGTGGATTTATTATTTCTAATTTATTGTTTTTTTTCCTTATAAATTTGTTGAATAATAGAAATTAATAATGTGATATGCTAATAATCTAGGCTTGAGGTCATGAACACATGAACTAACTTTTCTGCATTTGTCATTGAGATAATTTGCATATGTCGTAATTTAGATATAGTTTTTAAGATGGAAAAACTACAACACATCCAGTTCCTAAAAATTCAGCAGTGGCTGAGACAAAAGGATCCATCCAAGTCCATTCATAATTAGGTTTGGAAAGTTGAAAACTGTAAAATTTAAAACTGATTTAAACTACAACACATCAATTCATATTATGAGAAATAAGTATTCTCAGTGACAGCTATTTGTAGTGCAAAACCTTACACAAATTCAGCTGTTCATAACTTAATGTACAAATAAATGCATGCATCACAGTTAATCTCTTTCCATCTTGTTTGGACTATGTGTGTTGGCCAGAACATTGCGAAAGGTACGTCAATCAGTAAGTTATGACAATATACACTCACCGACCAATTTATTAGGTATACCTGTCCAACTGCTCGTTAACACTTAATTTCTAAGCAGCCAATCACATGGCGGCAACTCAGTGCATTTAGGCATGTAGACATGGTCAAGACAATCTCCTGCAGTTCAAACCGAGCATCAGTATGGGGAAGAAAGTTGATTTGAGTGACTTTGAACGTGGCATGATTGTTGGTGCCAGAAGGGCTGGTCTGAGTATTTCAGAAACTGCTAATCTACTGGGATTTTCACGCACAACCATCTCTAGGGTTTACAGAGAATGGTCCGAAAAAAAAAACATCCAGTGAGCGGCAGTTCTGTGGGCGGAAATGCCTTGTTGATGCCAGAGGTCAGAGGAGAATGGCCATACTGGTTCGAGCTGATAGAAGGGCAACAGTGACTGAAATAACCACTCATTACAACCGAGGTATGCAGCAAAGCATTTGTGAAGCCACAACACGCACAACCTTGAGGCGGATGGGCTACAACAGCAGAAGACTCCACCGGGTACCACTCATCTCCACTACAAATAGGAAAAAGAGGCTACAATTTGCAAGAGCTCACCAAAATTGAACAGTTGAAGACTGGAAAAATGTTGCCTGGTCTGATGAGTCTCGATTTCTGTTGAGACATTCAGATGTTAGAGTCAGAATTTGGCGTAAACAGAATGAGAACATGGAACCATCATGCCTTGTTACCACTGTGCAGGCTGGTGGTGGTGGTGTAATGGTGTGGGGGATGTTTTCCTGGCACACTTTAGGCCCCTTAGTGCCAATTGGGCATCGTTTAAATGCCACGGCCTACCTGAGCATTGTTTCTGACCATGTCCATCCCTTTATGGCCACCATGTACCCATCCTCTGATGGCTACTTCCACCATGTCACAAAGCTCTAATCATTTCAAATTGGTTTCTTGAACATGACAATGAGTTCACTGTACTAAAATGGCCTCCACAGTCACCAGATCTCAACCCAATAGAGCATCTTTGATGTGGTGGAACGGGAGATTCGCATCATGGATGTGCAGCCGACAAATCTGCGGCAACTGTGTGATGCCATCATGTCAATATGGACCAAACTCCCTGAGGAATGCTTCCAGCACCTTGTTGAATCTATGCCACGAAGAATTGAGGCAGTTCTGAAGGCAAAAGGGGGTCCAACCCGTTACTAGCATGGGGTACCTAATAAAGTGTCCGGTGAGTGTATGTTTTTACATTGCTTTAACTCATCAAAATAAGTTAAGCAATTTTAAACTTTTTTTTATAAGTTATAAGATTCAAGTTTAACAAGTTACTAGTTTAATGTAATTTAAGTTGAAATGACATAAACATCTAAGTTGATTTTACTTAATTTAAGACAGCTACTTTTTTTTACAGTGTTGAGGGAATCAGGGTGATACTAACTTCCGGTTAAGCCTACAAAAATATGTCATCACTGCAGCACTCTATTAGGACAGGCCCTAATGATGGACAGTTTGACAACAACGAAGTGTCTTCATTTTTTATATCTTAATATTAATCTATTTTATAGGCTAAATTAAAATATAACAAACTTTAGTGAAATGTTTTATTGAAAAGTGATGAATGCCACTTGATTTCATATTTTATTATCTAATGTAATGACCTTCATAGTTCATACACAAAGTGTGACTAAATGTGTAGCATAGACTGTAAAAAAAGATGGACGACGCCCCTTCGCTCTTTTCCATTGGAGAAAACTGAAGCCGCCAGAGTCCCGATATGGCGCTGACATATTGGAACTTGAGTCTGCGCAGTAGCGTTTTCGGGACCAGTCATGCGCAGTCGTGAGCAGGAAGTAAAGCCGCGAAATCAAGGCCCCACCCCCTCACGCTCGTTGAATCATTCGCAAGCACACGCCCTGCACTTTTCTTAAGTGGCCTTGTCTGCTCCGTTCCTCTCCAATGATGTCTGCTGATTGCAGTACCTCGTTAAAATAAGGTAAATATAACTACTAACCACATAGTCAACATTATGAAAAAAAGTCCGTTGGTGCTTCAGTGACTACTTCACACAGAGAACCTGTCAATCACAGCTGTCAATCATGATGTCACAGCACCGTTTTTATAGCATCAAATAACTAACTAAAAACTAACTTATTTTAAAAACAAACACTTGAAATTACATCAACGTGATAGAAACTACAGTAAATGACAGAAACTATCTTTAGAAAAAAGATATGTGACGTGTAATTTAATTATTTAGTTGGTCTCACGTCCCATTGAATAACATGGGGAGGCGGGGCTTATGAGCTATACTAGGACCGGTCACCGGGGGGCGATCGAGACGTTTTGGCTTCACTTTTGAGGGCTTGTGCGGCACGCTTGATGTGTAGTCGTTTTTTGAAGCCACTGTACACTACACTGTGAAAGCCTCCGCCTCACTCAGACCTTTATTTTGAAAGCCATTGATCTTGTCGGAACCCCATGAGTTGCTTTCTCATGGCGTTCTTCACACCACTGATCAAAAAGATCTGAGGTGGAGAGCAGCTTACTTTCGGTTAACTTCAAGACGTTGAAGTGTTTTTTTTCTCAGTAAGTATGAGTTGTTGTTGTTTTTTAGTTGTTTTCTATATATAGCCACTGCAAGCTATTATTTTAGGAATTTCGGAGAACGACAAATTAGTTAACTTACCACTGGAAATTGTTTTAAGCGAAATAATTCTTATTATCATTATTCTTTAAATTAAATCAATAGGCCTATTTGATATTGATATCAAAAAGATTGTTGTTCTACATATTTTTAAACAATTTGTTGTCCTGTTTTATGGTTGTAGGCAGCGCAGCGTGTCTCTTAGTCCTTTGCACTGAAAGTGGGAATGATTTTGTCAGCAATTACAGAGTTGGGAGGAGTTTATTTTCCTCCCTGGATGACAAATAATCTATATTACACGTCTATCTTCCTTTCCTTTAGGTCAGTTCTTCTGTCACTGAAGGATTGGATCACTGCAGCAATGTCTTACCTTCCAACTCTATTCAAATACGTCGATGAGCACCAGGACCAATATGTTGAGGTATTGAGAGGTATCTTATATTACATTACATTGTATATTATTATATATCCAAAACTGGAAAATGTGTCCACTTAAGCTAAAATAGTTTAGATTTGTTTTTATTTATTTATAGTTTTTTTGTTTTATTCCTATAACTCTATGTGTTATTCAAATTTTGTGATGACTTTACTCTTTGGACATGAAGCAATGTATATTTTTCTAATGGAAATGTAAACACTTTGTGTGTGTGTTTGTAGCGCCTGGCACAGTGGGTTGCTGTACAGAGTGTGTCTGCCTGGCCAGAGAAACGAGAAGAAATCAAGAAGATGATGGAGATGGCAGCCAAGGACATTGAGAGACTTGGGGGAACAGTGGAGATGGCTGACCTCGGCATGCAGAAGGTGTGTTTTCTGAAATTCAGTTACTTACTATGAATCTCTTGCCTTGGAAAAGGCTTTGGAATTTTCATTTTAATGTCTGTCTTTATTATTTTTACTGATTTTAGCCTTTAGCGCAAGCATTACAAGCTGGTTCCTGTTTTTCATTTTTGTGGTCGACCATCTGACTGCATGTGTCACATGCACCAGAAGATTGCAGTTGTGTAGTTATGCTTTGAAATTGGTCCTAAACTCAGATCACGTGGTGATTGTGATCAAGTGAAAGTGACATTTATTTGTTAATGAGTTTGTTTATTTGGGTTCAATCCAAAATTTGGTCGTTATTTATTCATTCTCATGTTGTTCCAAAACCATATTCATTTTGAAGAAAGCCATAAAAGCACAATAAAAGTTGTATATGTTTATCTTAAAGTTATTTAAATAAATAAATAAATATATATATATAATATATATATGTGTGTGTGTGTGTGTGAGAGAGCGAGAGAGAAAAAAAATTGACATTCACCCTTTATTCAAATTACTAAAAATAATTGATAAAGATTTTGTATATTGCATAGCATAGTTGTGCTTGGAGTCAATTGTTTTATTTGTGATAATGCAATGAAACATTCTAAATTGTGCTGACATTTATTTTTTGGCCAGGCTGTCATACAAAGAAATTATGAACACATGCAAAAACAAGAAAGAGCCAACAAAATATTAACTGATTAGGATTAGTCACTGTGAGCTTTTTGTTTCAAAATGAAAATTCTGACATCATTTACTCACCCTCAAGTTGTTTCAAACCTATAGTAACGTGTACCACTGATTGTTATAGACATATTGTAGCTTGAGTTAATACAAGA